GAACATCTGAACTTTCAACGTGTCCTACAGAACATCTGAACTTTCAACGTGTCCTACGGAACATCTGAACTTTCAGCGTGTCCTACAGAACATCTGAACTTTCAATGTGTCCTACAGAACATCTGAATTTCCAATGTGTCCTACAGAACATCTGAATTTCCAATGTGTCCTACAGAACATCTGAACTTTCAACATGACCCACAGAACATCTGAACTTCCAATGTGTCCTACAGAACACCTTTTGAACTTGTGACAATCAGCTCAAAGTGACAACCAACGAAGCTTCCTGAGCTTCAAGATGCTTGTGAGGATCGTATGAAACGAAGGGGACAGGACCGGAAATGCTGCCCTCTCTCTTCCCTGCAGAAGGGTCTCCAAGACCAGGTGCCGCCAGGGCACTCACTTGGATGGCGCTCTCCGTTTCCAGGTAGGTGATGTTGGCCATGTCCTGGGTGCTGCTGTTGACGAGGAAGTACCCGGAGCCTTCCACCAGAGCAAAGACCTCCTAGGGAGACGCAAAAGCATCCAGAGATGTTGTAAAGGCTTCCGAAACTCCAATGAAAGCATCCCTTGGGACGTCCCAGAGCTGACTGAAGCCAACCCTTGGTCCTACCTTGACATCGGGGTGGTTGTACATGGTGACGTTATCGGGGACCACCGTCACATCGTCAACCAACAAGAGCTCCACAGCTGCAGAAGCGGGAGAGTTAGAGACCTCCTAAAATGCACAACGAAATCAACAACGGGGGTCTAGGCAGGAGGTTCTGCCCCTATGGAGGCCACTGTCCCTTCTACACCAGAGGGTCTCCAAACTTGGCCACTTTAAGACGTGTGGACTTCAACTCCCAGAATTCCTCCTCCAGCCATGTTAGCTCAGGAATTCTGGGAGTTGAAGTCCACACGTCTTAAAGGGGCCAAGTTTGTGGAGCCCTGTTCTGTATTTATCAACAATATTCACTCTCTGGGAAGCCATCAGTTCCCTCAACATCTCCTGTCTGTCAACTCATAAAATCTAAGTATAGTACAGTATATAAAATCATACATTGCGATGGACGGGCGACCATCCACTGAGAAGGTACGGAAGTTAGGGTGGAAATGGACCCTCCGTTTGTGGACAGGACTCAAACGGAGGAGCTCGTTCGGACGTGGAGAACCCACCAACCTTCTGGCGTCGCCCGACTGCCCGTTATTTCCCGTCTCGCCTTCTGAGATAACACACATCTCCTGTGTGATGCTCTTCGGGTGTTTCGCACCCCTCCCCTTCTCAAAACTTAAAACGTCCCCCGTCACCACCTTCTACCCAGCCTTCCCCTCGGACTCACTTTTGGGCTACCTCTCTCCGAATATTTCACAAAGTTGACCGCAATCAGAACCGTCCCTTTGATCTGATGGACCTCCAACAGCTGGTGTCCTGGGGGGAGCCCAATGGGCGAGGCAGGAGGAGGAGGGGGAGGAGGAGGAGGAGGAGGAGGAGGAGGAGGAGGAGGAGGAGGAAAAAAAGAGAGACGTTAGAAGGAAACTTCTTGAATGCTTTCTGGAGAAGACACAGAAAATGGCTGAGGGACCTCTTATTTTACTGGAAGAGGAGAATGCTGAGGCGCACCGTGGAGCCTTGTCTGTCCGGTCCCATCATCCTTGTCCACCATCTGCATGGATCTCGGGTGAGTGAAGCGAGCCAGGCTTTCATTGGCCGAGGTCCACTCCAGGATGAGAGAAGAAAAGTTGTCGAATTTCCTCCGGTGCTGGTCAAACAACGCTAGCTCCAGAACGGTGTTCCTCAGGCTGGACACGGGGACCTGAAAGCATCAACGTTCCCGTTGCATTGGAGAGGCACACGGAGAAAGGTGTGAGTTGTGGGGTCCTTGGCGCTCTCTGATTACCAAACCAGGACTGATGATGTTCCCTAGTTGGGTCATGAGACGTCTGCAAGAAAACCACCCAGCTCAGAGAGCACCAAGGACCCCACAGTCATCCTCTTTCTCCTTTTCTTCTTCTTCTTC